CGATGGGCAGTTTCTTTCACCCTGATGCACCTGTTACCTAGCAGTAAATAGGTACCTGGGAGTTAGACAGCTGTCACGGGCTGCTCCCTGGGATGTGGAAAAAAATAGTAGTTAGTAACAGTTGATTGACAGTTGAGAGGCGGGCCGAAAGAGCAGAGCTCAACCCCCGCAAGCACAACTAGGTGAATCAACTAGGTGAATAAACACACATATATGCACTTTTTCTATTTCTATTTCTAACTTTATATGTTAGAACTTTTTCAACGTTAGAAAGAACTTTTTCAGTGTCAGAGTAGTTAACAGGTGGAATGCATTAGGCAGTGATGTGGTGGACGCTGACTCCATACACAGTTTCAACTGTAGATATGATAGAGCCCAGTAGGCTCTGGAATCTGTACATCTGTTAATTGACGGTTGAGAGTCAGAGACCAGAGAGCCAGAGCTCAACCCACGCAAGCACAAATAGGTGAGTATATACACACACGCGCGCGCGCACACAGACATAGACACAGTCTATGGAAGACAGAATAGCTAGGGGAGACATGATCACCAAATACAAAATTCTCGGGAATTGACAGGGTGGACAAGGATGGATTATTTAACACGGGTGACACACGCACAAGGGGTCACATGTGGAAGCTGAGTACCCAAATGAGTCAGAGACATTAGAAAGAACTTTTTCAGTGTCAGAGTAGTTAGTAAATGGAATACACTAGGAAGTGATTTGGTGGAGGCTGACTCCATACACAGTTTCAACTGTAGATATGATAGAGCCCAGTAGGCTCAGGAATCTGTACACCAGTCGATTGACAGTTAAGAGGCGGGACCAAAGAGCCAAAGCTCATCTCCCTCAAGCACAACAAGATGAATACACAGACACACATGCGCACCGACCTACTTGCAAACAGACCCACGTGCACACAGACCCACGTGCACACAGACCCACGTGCACACAGACCCACGTGCACACACACATGCGCACACAGAAAGACACGCGCATGCATACAGACACACACACAGACACGTACGCATACATACACATACACGTACACACATACACGTACATATACACGGACATATACACGTACACATACACACACGTACACACACAGACAGGTACACACACACAGACAGGTACACAGACACGTACACACACATGTACATGTACACACACATGTACATACACATGTACACATACATACATGTACACATACATACATGTACACATACATACATGTACACACACACACACACATGTACACACACATGTACATGTACACACACATGTAAACACCCACGTTCACAACCAGTCTAGTCAAGCATAAGACTAAACTGGAAAAGGTTGAAAGGTTTGCCACCAGACTAGTACCCGAACTGAGGGGTATGAGCTATGAGGAGAGACTACGGGAATTAAACCTCACGTCACTGGGAGACAGAAGAGCTAGAGGGGACATGATCACCACATACAAGATTCTCAGAGGAATTGACAGGGTAGATAAAGACAGACTATTTAACACAAGGGGCACACGCACTAGGGGAACACAGGCGGAAATTGAGTGCTCAAATGAGCCATAGAGACATTAGG